AATTTAAAGATCCTAGAATATGAGTATAAAACTTTCTACATTTTTAGGGTTTTTTTTCTCTTTAACTTCGAAAGTTGTCTTGCCTCTATGTAATTTGACATCAAGTTTTTATTGAAGTTTTTGTTTGGGCATAAATTTTCAGCTCCTCTGGGTAAATACCAAGTAGTATGATTGCTGGATCATATGGTAAGAGTATGTTTAGGTTTGTAAGAAACTATCAAACTATCTTCCAAAGTAGCTGTACCATTTTGCATTGTCACCAGCAATAAATGAGAGTTCCTTTTGTTCCATATCCTCACTAGCATTTAATGTTGGCATTGTTCTGGATTTGGGCTGTTCTAGTATAGGTGTATAGTGGTATAGTGTTGTTTTAATTTACATCTCCCTAATGACATACAATGTATGTCTTTTCATGTGCTTATTTGTCCTCTGTATGTCTTCTTTGGTGAGGTGTCTGTTAAAGCCTTCGGCCCATTTTTAAAATCAGATTGTTTAATTTTTTTCTTTTTTCTTTCTTAAATGTTTATTTTTGAGAGAGAGAGAGTGCAAGTGGGGGAGGCGGGGGAGAAAGAGAGAGAATTTGAAACAGGCTCCAGGCTCTGAGCTGTCAGCACAGAGCCCAATGCAGAACTCAAACTTGGGAACGCTGAGATCATGACCTAGGCCGAAGTCAAACACTTAACCGACTGAGCCACCCAGTTGCCCCAGATTGTTTTCTTATTGTTGTGTCTTAAGAATTCTTCATATATTTTGGATAACATTTCTTTATCAGATGGGCCATTGCAAATATTTTCTCCCAGTTTGTCGTCTCTCTTCTCATTCTCTTGACATTGTTGGTCATAGAGCAGAAGTTTTTAATTTTAGTGAAATCCAGCTTATCAGTTCTTTGTTTCATGGATCATACTTTTGGTTTTGTATCAAAAAGTCATCACCATACCCAGTGACATCTAGGTTTTCTCCTGTGTTACCTTCTAGGAGACTTATAGTTTTGCATTTTACATTTATATCTATGATTCATTTTAACTTAAGTTTTGTGACAGGTGTGAGGTCTGTATCTAGATTCATTTTTTTTTTCATGTGGATGTCCAGTGTTTTAGCACCATGTTGAAAAGACTGTCATTGCTCTATTGTATTGCCTTTGCTCCCTCGTCAAAGATTAGTTTATTCTATGTGCATCTGTCTCTGAGCTCTCTATTCTGTTTCACTGATCTATTTGTCTTTTTTTTTTTTTTTTTTTTTTTTTTGCCAATACTCCACTACCTTGATTACTGTGCCTTTATTGTAAGTCTTGAAGTCAGATAGTGTCAGTCATTTTTGAAGAAAAACTTTGCTCTTGTCTTTCAAAACTGTTTTAGCTATTCTGGGTCTTCTGCTTCTCCATATAAACTTTATTATTATTATTTTTTAATGCTTATGTGTTTATTTTGAGAGTGAAAAAGAGAGAGCACAAGTGGGGGAGAGGCAGAGAGAGAGGGAGACAGAGAGAATCCCAAGCAGGCTCCTCATTGTCGTCGCAGAGCCCAAATGGGGCTTGATCTCATGGTTCGTGAGATCACAGCCAGAGCTGAAATCCGGAGTTGGAGGCTTAACCAACTGAGCCACCCCAGGTGCCCCCTCCATATAAACTTTAGAATCAGTCTGTTGGTATCCACAAAATGACTTGCTGGAATTTTGATTGGATTGCGTTGAATCTATAGCTCTAGTTAGAAAGAACTGACATTTGACAGTATTGTCTTAATATCCATTAACATGGATTATCTCTGTATTTACTTAGTTATTTGCTGTTTTTCATCGGTGTTTTGAGGTTTTCTTCATATAGATCTTGTACATATTTCATTTTGGGGAGTGCTAGAGTAAATGGTAATATGTTTTTAATTTCAAATTCCACTTTTCATTGCTGATGTATAGGAAAGTGGTTGACTTTTGGTATTAGCCTTGCATCCTGTGACCTTGCTATAATTACCTACTAGTTCTAGGAACTTTTTTGGTTAATTCTTTAGAATTTTCTACTTAGATGATCATGTTATCTTGAACAAAAACAGTTTTATTTCTTCCTTCCAAATATGTATACTTTTTATTTCCTTT